AACTGTGTACCAGTTTAACGTTGAATATTATTTATGATTTTAACTTTATACACAAGTGCCAAAATACTATAATTAGTGTGGTTAACTTCTGGAATGGGTTGCTTTCAAATTTTGTGGCGGCAGTAAATTTAAGTGGGTTTAAGAGAAAGCTTGATAACTATATGAATGATAAGGGCTGACTTTAAGATTTACAAAAAATTATAATACTTTAAAGGATAAGACAGCCAAGATGGACTAACAGATCCATTGTTGTCCCTAAACATTATATTAACTTTTTAATAACGTATTCCATTGATATTAGAATAAAGTGTAATAAAGCTAAAACATTAGATGTTTTAAGCAGGCAAACATGTCTATATAATAGTATCTTATGAGTTTCCCTATTTTTTCTGTTGCTTTGCTTTGTTAGCTTATGCTTTACTATAATGTATTACAGATGTACAGGAACCTTTTCCACATACTACTTCTAGTAGTCAGCCCACGGATGGTTTCCTCCCAGGAAACTATCTGGCATCATTTGCTCACCCTGGACAAGGTGCAAGTCCTAGCCCTATGCCCAACTCTGAGTTTTCTGCCCATGGGCAAAACCAGCTTTCAGGATATCCTCAAGGCCCACCTCATTCTAACCATTTAGGTACAGTTCAGGAAGGTGGCATGTCTGTTCCTCCACCTGTAAACATGCAGTATCAGCATAGATCCATGCCTGACTCTTATAGTTACAGTCAGCCACCAGTGAATGCCATGGGACCAGCCTACCGTGGAGGTCAGTCAATGACCAGTGGAGGTTCTTATAGCTACAACAGCAACTCATCCCATGATCAGTTTCGTGAACAGTATGGTAGTCAGCCTAGCATGATTTCTTCTTCTGAAGGGACTTACAGAAATAGGAACATCATACAGGATAATTACAATTCATTTCCACCTAGTCATGCTGTTGGTCCTCAGGGTCCCCAATACTCTTATCAAGGACCATATGAGAGAGAAAGGTAGTTCTTTTATTTATTTTTATAAGATGAAAAACAAAATTACTTACAGAACTAAATGTTTTGTGGAATTTATCAACCTGGAAGAACTTTGCAAATGAAACAAAATATGTAAAATAAACTGACATTAATATAGCGTAGAATGTGTACATCAAACAAATACAACAGTAAACACGCAACACCAAAAAAAAAGAAGTAAAAATCTTTTTTTTTTCTTTTTTGGTGGTAGGGTGGGAGGAGTTAATTGCCATATCTACTTAATATATCCATTTTGGATTAGTTTCATATTTTTTTTTAGTTTTACGTTTTGCCATGTTGACCAATCTTCTTCCTATTTTTGTGATTTTATTTATTTCTGTGTTAAAGTATTGAAAAAAAAAAGATCTTTTTGATAGTGCAATGTTGAACAGTTAGAAGTACCTTATTTATTAATTACTGGTGATGTTGAGGAATTAAAACATATGCAGCATTTGAAATAAGAGTGTAATTTCTTGTTGCCCACCCAAAATTTTGGTTGTCCAGACAAATATACAATTAAGGGTGAATATTTGTTCTGTGTTTTAATAAATATTACTGTATTTTTGCCAATCCTAAATGAAAATTTTTAGTTTATTTACATATAATGAAATAAACAATTATTAGCTGTTGATATTGAGCAACATGGAAGTTGTGATAAAGAAGCAGTGAATGCTATTGGTTGATAAAACAAAAGAAGCAACACACATTGGCAAATGGCAATGCTAAAAAAAAAAAAGTTTATTGTTGTATGTAAACTTCTGTTCAATATTCAAGTTCTTATTTGTAATTATAGTTTTGTAGGAATTTGCTTAAAGTGGAATGTGTGTATTCCAAAATGTTCATTAAATATGTTTTTATTGATTACTTCTGTGGTTGTATTGCTCATCCGTATTGATTTTACTTTCTTCAGGTTCTCTTTGATTCTTAAATCTTGTTCATTGTTGCAACTTTGTAATATGGCTATGGTCCTTTCATCAGCAGTTCCATCACATTCCTGATCTAGGTTATAGGAGATATCTGAAGAATTTACCAAAACTAAAATTAATATTGAACTTTAATTCAACAATGACAGAAGTTGTTCATTGTTTAAAAAAACTATATATATATATATATATGGTAACTCATAATTATCACAGTAGGTTTGACACAAAAATCAGGATCAATTTTTTTTCTTCTTTAAATAAGTTGCCCAGCTAGGAAACTTTATAAGATGTCCTGGTTGTCTTGGGCAACCAGACTATCATTATTTTGAATGTTGATGTGTGTCTGTTTAAAAAATATTGATTTCTTTAATGCACTTTAAAAAATGTAATGAAGCATGTAGTGTTACAGACTTGAATTTGGAAAATCTTTAAGAACCACAATGTGTCCATCACTAGTGCTTTAGTAAGGTTGACCTCCTTACCATCCTATCACTGCTTGTGTGACCATATATTAAAGGAGTAAACGATTTTTAGTAACATTACTAACATATAAGATATATCCTTAAACATTAAAATACCTTGTAGTGCTCTTGTCTTCACATTGCAGTACTGAAAAGGAATTGTTAAATATGGAAAACAAATTTGACCATAAGTTGCACTTCACTTGTGAAACAATTTGGCTACTTTTAATTTATAACATTTATCTGACAGAGTTTATTTTATAGGATATTCATTTTTGCTGGATAAAATAATCACATTTATCAATGACTTATGAAAATTAACTTCAAAATTACATTTTTTTTTCTCTTTATTAAGCATTTAGCTTTACTCGTAAAGTTATGTTTAGCTTTCCAAGATATATAGTTTCTGTAAAGAGTATGTTTTATTGTATCTATTTATTTCTTCCTTTTCTATTTACAAATGACTTTATATAAGCACATTTGTGGAGTAAATGTTTTTCCAAGGTAAAAAAAAAATGAATGCTATTATTATATTGATACTCTAAACTGTTATTATTTGGGCTTCTCTAGGTATGAACATCAGCTACCTGCAGTACCTCAGCCATCATCCCAACCAGGAAGTATGATGGGGCCTACTCAGAATGATCCCGCTTTGTACCCTTCAAGATACCACAATCAGCAATTGATGCCTCAAAATCAGGAAAATATAGGCATTCAACCAGGTAGCAATTACCAAGGCCAGGTTCCTTCAGGCCCAACTCCTTCTCAAACTCCATTTTCAACTTCCGGACTTACTGAAGGTCAGACTCTAAACCAAGGGCAGTATGTGCAAGGTCAGCAAGGATTAGACAATCAGTGTAACTACCAGGTTAGTCAGTACTTATTTTTTTATAATTTCATAAAAGAAAGTTAATATGTTCATGGTTAGACATGCATTTTCATGTCTTTTAGATAAATTGGAGTCGAAAAGGTGCCATTCCCATAGTTAATTTGAACTAATGAACACGTTATTACCCATAATGTAATAAAAGTAGTTTATGTGTTTGTATATATGTAGAACTTGTTGCATCATCTATACTTGATGGGTGCAATAATAGAATAGCTCATCCTGCTATTCAAAAACATTAAAACAGATGACTTGATTCATTATGTTCCACACACATCAAAACCATTACACGTGTTTAGCTGTCATTTAATCATCAGTATGTTGAAAGAGGCAAAATGAAAAAAAAAATTTAAATAAACAGATTTTAGTCAGCTGTGGAATAACTATTTTGTTCGTTACTAGTTTCCACAATGTGATACATTTGCTTGCATTGTTATTTTTTTATCATTTATTAATGAATGACTCAGCTTGTAGAAGTTCTTATTTATTTTGTAATATGCTAATTCAAAAGTGTGAAAACAAGATTTAGGGTACACTTAAAATCATTTTCAGTTGTTGGGTAAGTCATTGGATTTGGTTCTTGCTATAAATTAGGCTGGTCCCAACATTTATAAGTAATTAATGTCTCAGAAATGTCCACTGATTTTATGGTTACTTTTGTATATATATGAGATTATAATATTTCCAAAACAAACAGAATTTAAAGATAAACCAAAGGGAGCATTTTAAGTTTGTTAGTTGTTTTAATTTTCAGTTCAAAAGCAATCTAAAGTTATTAGATATGTACTTCTGCAAAAAAAATACATATAAACAAACAACCTGTTTGATTGATAATAAATGCAAAAATGACAGTGCAAAATAAGATAACAGAAACTGATTGACTAAGGAGAGACAATGTAACATTTTTGTAATATGTGATGTCTGTGTGCTCATTTGACTTGAATAGTTGGAATGGAAAGACATACCAGTTTCCATCTGTGGATACATATGCTCTTTATATATAAAATTTCCCCAACTTGCTTGTTAAATATGTTTATAGTAGAAATCACATGCCACTACTGTAAATCATAAAATACATGCATGTCTATTATTTTTCCAGATGCCACGCATCCAGTCTGCACTAGCTCAGCGATTAATGCCTAAAGTAAGACAATTATCCAAAGAAATTACTTACTAACAATAAAAGACCACCTCAAGTAACTTCCATATTTCCCGTCATTAGTATTAGATAAAAGAAGTATCCTGTAAAATAAAGAGTTAAACAGTAATTTTTTCTTAACCCTGAATTTTAGCTGTGTTTACATTTCTCAGCATTATTTTTTAATGCATACTTTGTGCAAAACTTTGAGCTACCACACTGAACTTTTTTGTTAACTAATAAAAATGGTTAGTAGAAAAAGTTTATCTGTGTTGAATTATCCAAATTAGGTATTGTTATTGTTTTTTTTAAATGTATTAATGGTGTGTCAATAATGAGAAATATAGACTCACTGCAGGTGGTCTTAAAATATGCTAACATACTTACTAACCCCAAGAATATTTGCAAAACAACTGTTACCTGTTACTTTTTATTTGTTTTTGTTTGTTTTTTTCATTTCCCCACTTGGAATCTTACCATCAGCCAATAATCCTCATTTTCGGAATATTGAATTTAAATTCCTACATCAGTCAGAAAAACAACAGTTATTCTATTGATATATATTTTTCTTCTCTATAAAATTAAATTTAATTACATATATACACACACACACACACACACACACACATACATACATACATACACACATACATGTATACACACACATACATACATACATACATACACACATACATGTATACACACACATACATACATACATACACACACACATATATATTTTTTCTTCTCTAAAAATTAAATTTAATTACATATATACACACACATACATACATACATACATACAAGCATACATACATGTATACATACACACACACACACATACATACAAGCATACATACATGTATACATACACACACATACATACATACATACATACACGCATACATACATGTATACACACACATATATATTTTTTCTTCTCTATAAAATTAAATTTAATTACATATATACACACACATACATACATACATACATACATACATACACACACACACACACACACACACACACACACACACACATATATATTTTCTTTTTTGGTTTAAGATCAAAATGTTCATAAAAATACAAACAAGACTTACTAATTTAACTTGACATTCATTTAGAATCTGTGTATCCTTTCAGCTGTTGTGATAAGGTTTTTTGGTTTTCAAATCACTGAAAGATTTTCTAATTAATGAAAAAATTATTAATACTGAATATAGTTGTAAATTACAAGTAAAGACTTCAATTATGGTTTTACGCTCTGAGAAACATTGTTCTTAATATACAAACATAAGTGACAGTTTGAAAAGTTTGAAGTTGAAAATATGTATTACAATTAATCTAACATTCAGAAGTAAAAAAACTAAAAAATAGGGTTTTCATGGTCACCTGTTGCCCTGTCTTCTGGTGATGTGCTCCTCTGGGCTCCCCTCTTTTTCTTTTAGTGGAGCACTGGAGTCCTTACCACTCACCATTTTCTAGCTGCTGGGATGGTGTGACCAATTCCACTCAGGAGAGAGTAGGATGGTGGTGTTATGACCATGTACTACTGTTCACTCCTTTATCCTTCTACTGCCTAGATGTTGTGTTCTCAGATGATCTAGTGTTGGAATGGCACAGGACCAGCCAACATAAGCTCTCACTCAGTTTGGAGGGCAGATGTTACTTTCCTGTTCTGCTTCACTGGGCTTGAGGTGAAGATGGTAAGTATCCTCCTCCTATCACAGACAGGATGTAACCTTAAGGCATCACCTGACCTACCACTGAAAAACACTGCTGGTGCTATTCTTTAACAATGTGCAGCATTACAGCCATAATTTCCCATGGGCAGACCAAGTTGTTTTAAGAGAATGACAAAAAACAAAGTCAGCTAGAATGAAAGCAACTTAATGGTTTTCTTGATCTTATGATATACGTGAAAACTGCACATACCTGAGTAAGAGCCAAATGCGTGGTATGCTTATATACCTCTAGTTTACTTCCTTCTTGACTTCAGATTTGTCTTCAAATTGAGAATTTTAACTTTAACATCAATAAAATTATAGACATGCATTATTGTAGAGATGCTGGTCTGTAGCAGTTTCTCTGAGGCTACGATGGTCACTTCATCTAGCAAAGGTTTGAGTTTGTGGATGGATCTGTGATTAACTGGGATAACCCAGTTTCAGGAGTCTTCAAAGCCCAGTTATCTTACATCTGATCTGTTAGCTATCAATGTATATTCATCCATTGGCTCTACCAGCTTAAAAGCTAAGCTGGTTACAGGATTCTTTGGGTAGGTACCATAATCCAGCTTCTTCCAAATAGGAAATCCTAAGCATACTAGTAATCATCAAACTTTCTTCTATGATGCAGATTGAGCAGGATCTAAGCACTTAGGAATGAATGTAAAATAACCCTGGCTACTTGAAGACAAATATAGCCAGAAAAAAAATAACAAAATTCTGATACAGTACATTACCTCTTCATTACTGCTCTCTATATACAAAATATTTTTCGTATGCCACAAACCTTCAACTCCCACATACCTCATGATCAGTGTGGTTCAACTGCGATTCACATGTAAATCATCATGCGACAACCCTCCACCAGTAGGAGTGCGACACACCCTCCTGATGCATGGGACTCCCTATATTTGATTCTACCAAACTACCACTTCTCATGACGCAGTGATTGAGGGCAGACATTTTTCATTTGTGCTCTTTTCTCATGTTCATTTCCTTTTTTTTTTTTTATGCGAAGCAGTGATTTACTTGACATTTACTTTGTCTGTAGTAGTTTGTCACAGCAACTTACCTTGTTTATGCAACTTCTGATATTATTACCACTACTTTGAATGCCATTACCAGCTTCAGGTCTGCAGGTTTGACTGAGGATTTTTTGACTTTCAATAGTTGGGAGGTTGATTATTATATCAAGCATCCATTTTCTCTCAATAATGTTTGGGTTCCTCCTGCATTTTCCATACCTGTTCATAAGAAGGAGGATTTTGACAGTTTTTCTTTTTTTCCTTCCTTCTTATCTGTGCTGTGCCTTCCCATGCATCTTCCATGAAATCTACTAGGCCTAACTCTGCCTTTTTAGATATGCTTTTTCAGGTGTGTTCTGTTTTCATATGATACTGTCTCTTTTTTTAACTTGGCACCCATCATTAGAGTCCCCTGTTTTTCTTCCTTCCTTTGACATTAGGGTTCATGCTGAGCATTTTGTTTCTCAGTTGAATGTTGGTGTTATCATGCCTCGTCCTCCATGGGCTTTTGATCTTTGTACTTTGGCTTATCAGAAGTTACTCAACTTTTTCGGCTTCCAACAGTTGGTCACTTTTGCTCATGTGGTGGACTGACCCTAACAATTCTATCTATTTCTCCTACTTCCCTTTTCCCACCTTCGTCTTACTTTTACAGCTTATCCAACATACATCTCCTTTCTGAGGCACTCCACTGCCCCCCCCCCCCGAGGGTTTTTCGGAGGATATACTTTCCCTCCTTACTCTTCATTGGCATTATTGTCTTTTTTGGCCCTATCCCATCACACATGATTTTGTTATTGTTGTAATGTTATTGGACTTTGTTTTTTCACAGGTTTATCTACCTTCCCATTACCTTTGTGACTTACAAATAGCTCCTTTACTCCATATGTTTGTTTTTGGAGATTTTCCAGAGTCTTTAGATACATGTGTGGAGTCTGTGATCAGGCACCTTCCCTTTTTCCTAGAGTCTCTTCTCCATTGTCCAATGGAGAAAACTATTCAGCAGGCATGTGGCTTCCATCTCATATATTCATCTCCCACTATCTTCATTGGGTAGCTGTTTCTTCCTCGTCGGGGTACCACCTTCCGACTGTTGCCATTCTTCAAACTTCAGAGCAGCCATGTCTGGGTAAATTATCAATTCTGTATATATTTTTCCCTACAGTGGCATGTCCCATTTAGGAATCGGATCCCACTCAGGGAAGAGCATGAACAGTGTTCGGACATTAATAGCTCTCACTCCTGAGTCAGTGTCTAGAGCAAGATGATAATCATGAGCACTTGTAGCATCAACAAAAGTCCAATTTCCAAGAGAGGAATTCTTCTCTACCCAACAACTCTCTGAAATGTCCATTTCCTTTTCAGCAACCAACTCTTGGTTGTATGTCCTTTGAATTGTGAAAAATGTCACTTCCATTACAACAAAGTCTTTTTAGATTTAAATAGAAGATATTTATAACAGAATAGTTCTGGAACTGACTGAGTTTGTGAGAATGAAATAAAGATTGGACACAGTGTAAATACAATGAACAATCTTTATTTAGTGACACCCACACAGCTTATTTCCTTTTACTGGAACATAAGCTATTTTCTCTCTAAACAGTATTGATAGCAATTGTATGCTAGATCAACTAATTATAATGTTATTTACTTAACTCGGTTAAATCAGGCTCACCCACAGCTACTAATGATGTCAAAGTTACTGGTTGTTCCCATCAAAACATGATGAAGGTTGTAACCTCAAAAAAACACCTGACCTATCATTGAAGGACATTACTTTCTACATTCATGCATGGACCACATGCTATATTAAAATAGCACATTTCAGAATAATTGACAAATTCCGAAAAATATTACATTAAGATAAGAAGGTAGAATATGCATGATATATGTACATACCACATTATGTCTGTTTGGCTATTTAAAATTTGTATTTATTTTTAAATGAAATTACATCAAATTCATACATCTTGGGAATATTATCCATCTCAAAGTGGAAATAAATGTCCAAAATAGAAAGCTGTATGTACAATTATCAAGCATGTTAACTAATTCCAATAAGTTGAAACTCCAAGTAACTCAGTTTAAGACTTGTTTTCTTTTTCCTAAATTAAGTAACTAAGTTGATAGATCAACATTATTAATTAATCTTCTGTTTCAGTCATTGATTTATCCAAGATGTTGGGCATGGTTTAGTATTCTTGACTGTGCGTCTAAAGGTCCATAGTTTGTATATCATTATCGAAAACAAACAATTTCTCTTCAGCACTTTGGGGCTGTGGGTGCATAATAAGATGACGGTCAAATTCCACCATTTCTTTAGAAGCTCAATAGCTAGTGGTGGGTGTAGTTGACTAGCTACCCTCTTTTTAATCTTTCAGTTCAAAATTAGCCATGGCTACCACAGTTAGCAGCTGTGTTGCTTCATGTGAATATTCAAAATGAAACAAACCGTTATCCAGTGGGGAAATAATTATAGCTCTGTTTTGATAAGATATTGTTTATTATTCTAACTATTAACTTATCTTTGTGTGTGTGTGTGTGATTTTTTTTCCTTTTTTAATGAATTTAAATATTTTTATGGTATTACAAAATCATATGTTAAAAGTTAAGTTTTTATGCAAATATTTTTTTTGTGTGTTTTCAGTAGGTTTTTTTTTAAAGAAAATATTGGTCACAAATATAGAACACCGATTTATTCTTAGCTTCTTAAACTTTACATGCAGCTGTATTTGCTGTTTTTTATTTAGCTTTTTTTGTAAAGTGAGAGAATTTTCTATGAAGTTTTGCAAATGTAAATAAAGAAAAGCTTAATAAATCTGATAAAAGTACTTGAAAAGAATTCCAGTATAATTGATAAACTGGCTTACCTTGCTTCACCTCATACGTTTAATTGTCTGTATTATATTTTATCCAAGAGAAATATCCTAAAGTCACATGCAAATAATTGCTTTTATAAAACAAAAATTCAGTTCACAAAAAGTTTCTTCTTTGAAAGAAACTAACAGATTTGCATTTACTTCAAAAGATTGTGTTATTCATCCTTAACTTGAGACTTTTACTAATTACTGGTAATGCAGAGTCAGTCTTATAGAGTTGTTTAAGGTCCAGTGGAGCAGATACTGAAGTATTGTCATTAAAAAAAAAGTTTTTTGTCTTTTTTTACCTCATACTGTGAGTAACTAATCAAGTTAATGATTAAGTAGTATAAAGAAGACATTATGTTGTGAAATTAAGAGATAACTTAAATGGCAGGATTTTATTGAGAAAAGAAACTTTATTTTATTTCTTTGATATAATAGTCTATAAATTTTTAAAAATTATACATTATCAGACAGTTTTTCTGTGCAGTTTGAAGACATTTTGAATGTCTGAGTTTTATTTAGTTTTTCATTTCATGAAAGTATATATAATGTGCATGTCTTTTATGATCTGGCACACATGTTGAATGAAACTCCTTATTTATGACCCTCATTTTGTAGGGAAAGGCTAAAAACAATGTTGTTTAAATTTGCTTCAAAATCATCAGAATACACCAGTCATAAAATAAATGTCTTAAGAAATATGATGATGATATTTAAACATTTTTTTATGCTTTTAATAGATTTTCTGCAGTTTTTTTTGTTCTGTTTTTGGTATTTGAAGTTCACTTCAAATATGATTAAGACATGAAATATGCTATTTCATCTAAACTTTCTTTGCTACATAAATTCTGTTGATCAATTGTTTCAGTTACTTTGATTATGCACTATTTTTACTTTAAAATTTTGAATTGATTATGAAACTTGAAGTAATATCCAAGTGGTTTGTCTGAGAAATTTCAGCAATAACTGTACTTTGTGAATTGTATTCCATACTGTTTTCTCTGAACTGTATATTTAAAAATGTCACATTATAAGTTATAGAGAAATAATTTTTTCATTGCATTATTTTTGTGGTAAGTAAGAAAATGTTTAAATAATAGTTCTGGAATCTGGGGGAAAAAAATATTAAGACATGATCTTTCACAAAATTACCAACAGAACCCACAGAACATGTACATCCAAGGTGTAACCTCACCTAATAAGATGAGCCCCACTAGTGGACCCCCACGTGATGTATACCAGCAAGACACATATGGAAAACGAACACCAGAATTTATGAGGCCACCTCCAAGTCAACCTGACCAGTACCACATAGAAAGCTATGGACATGATCAGACACAGGGATCCTATGGAGGTACGAAGGACAACAGCTTCAGTTATTATTGTACTTTGTAAATATAACATAGTTATAATAATGGCTGGAGACGGCTTGAGACGGTCTCCAGCCATTATTAGTCTCAAAGTGGGTTCCTCGTCATAGAATAACATAGTTATATTCATAATTTAACCTTACACCTTCATGAAATTCATCGGGCAACTAAACTGATATTAGATAGAAGAATATGTAAACATGTTGAAAACAATATTAACTGGCCTGAATTATAATCAAGTTTATCTGACAAGGCTTTCTGTCTGCAGGAGTGGATCAACAAGAATTCTCCAAGTTCCTGAAGTTTATGTCCAATATATATTCTGTCATTTTCCTTTTATAGATCGAAATCATTTCTACAGAGGATCACAAACGATGATACCACCTAACACAGGAATGCCTTCACATGGTTAGACTTTTTATATTTTTCTGTATCTCAGTTGCATTATATTTTTTTACAGAGATCATTTATTTGTAATGCAGACAAGGTACTCATTCTCATTTAGGTATTCTCTCCTACACATCCCAAACTTTTATTTTTTGTATGATTATATTTAATTGTCATTGTTTGCACGTGATATGTCTCATTTATTTGGCTGTTGATTGGTAAATTAAAATAGTGATGAGATTATGGTGAGGTCATCATGTTTGACGTGTATTTCAGCATCATACCCTTTTTTTTATCATACTTGTCTTGAATAGTTTGCATATAATTCCATGACCTAATTGAATAAGAAAGTTAGAATAAAAATAAAATGAAGTTCCATCTTGTTTCATAGTTACAGCAATTTATATATTTTTTAATGAATAAGCATAACTTAAACACGACCTCCAGTGGCACAGTTGTATGTTTGGGGACTTATACTGCTAGAAAACAAGGTTTTGATAACCGTGGTGGGCACACCACAGATAGCCCTTTGTGTAGCTTTGTGCTTAATAACAAACAACAATAACTTAAACACATTTTAGTCACCTGTTAATTATCAATTACATAGTAAAGTTGAATTTGGTATTCTCTCCAACACATCCCAAGCTTTTATTTTTTGTATGATTATATTTAATTGTCATTGTTTGGCACGTGATATGTCTCACAACAACTGTGACATAATTTTTTGTTCCTTGACTAAGTTTATTTTAGATTTTATTATTTATCTAGGTTGGCCAAGAGATAGCCACTATCGTCACTACCCTTCTCAAGCACAATACCCACCTGCCCGCCGAGATGCATGGGATGGACCACGACTAATAGATGGATCCCCATCAGGTGCGACTCATTGGGGTATGTCTCCTTACCCTTCAGGTAGTGGAGTGAGTATGGTCAATAAATTGCAATATGGGCAAGACCGGATGTCCTATCAAATCAAAAAGATGCCTGTAAGTCCTGTTCTTAGACAATTATTATTTTAATTAAAAATTTATTTTACTATTGCCGTAAGTTAAAATTGTTATTTAAAATGATTTCTAAATTATCCCTTGAATTAATGGCTTATATTACAACAATTCTATATTATCATCAAAACATAAAGTATTCTACATTATCATTATAAACAGGAAATGAGAAATGAATGTTAATGGATCCACAAATACTGGCAAAAACATTCGTGATAACTGTGATAAAATTACTACACTTACAGTAAACAATAGATACTTGAATTTGGAATAGAAACCTACTAACCAAGAGCAAGGAGAGAGAGAGAGAGAGAGAGATAAAACTTTCGTACATGCTAGGGTGCCTATGTCTAAGATAATGGATCCACTCTTTAAGTAGTAATATATAATTTTAACCTCAAAGGGCCTTGAATTCATTGATATAATCAATGGATCTCAAACGTCTAAACTGTTAACAAAAAAAACGAGCATATTTTCAGGTGAGTAGTTCCTACTAAGTGTCAGAAAGTCCTGTGATGTTTAGATCGTAAAGTCAACTTCATTTCAGAAGAATAAAGGTGTGAGATAAGTAACATCTCTAAATGGGTTTGAAGAAGATATTAATGTTGTGAGAATAAGGCAAGATTTCAGAAGTAGCTGAAATTTCAACAAAGTCAATCCAGATTCTTGTAAGAATCTGAACCTTGTAAATACTATTAGTCTGTAAAGAGTCATTCAGAATTTTTGCCATATTCACAAGTGTACATGCTTTTTCACGACTTCTTACTCTCCTCTTAAAGTGTACATATAAAATGATGAGTTTTTTAAAGAGATGTTAACAAACATTATTTGTTGTAAATATCTCTCTCTGGTCTATTGCACTTGAATTGAAGAGGGTATGATCCTTTTTCCTACCCCCACCTGGGTTTTGGATTACAGTTGACTTGCTGCTGGTATGATGCTCTTTCCTACCCCTACATGGTTGTCACTTCACTGTGGCTGGGTTTTGTATAGTAGTTGACTCACTGATGGTATGATCCTCATCTTACCCCCACGTGGATGTCTGTTCCCGATGGCTGGGTTTTGGATGCAGTTGAATTGCCGTGTACGGTCCGCCGCGACCTAACCACATCCTTTTTACTCTCACCCACATTACTGTCATCAAAGGGATTGAGATTCTGATATCAGGTGGTTCGGATCCCTATTCAAACATTGTTCTCTCCCCTTTGGATGTGTTCCTCCCAGTTTCCTTCCATATTTCCAACACCTTTTTCCACGCTGTGTGTAGATGTTCTTGGGATGCTTTCAAAGGATGCTTCTTTCTTTCCCTTGCACAGGCTCCTCCACTTATTCATTGTGGGATTTTAGCTATATCTGTGAGTGGAGGTAATGTATCATATCGGAAGTTATAATTTTCCTATGCTGAAAATGTATTTCCAATAAGCTCTTACCTCTAGCATTTCTAGTGGAAGTGTTAGTTGAGCTATGATTTTATTGCTTATTTGCTTCATATACGTATACCTCCTACTGAGAGGCTTGACAACTGAGGTTTGAAAGTAGACATTCCCTCCAGCTAAAAAGTTTTTAAAGGAAAGGTTATGACTTTTAAACAGTGTAAACAACATGCCAAACATTTGTTCCTTTACAAATCCTGAATTACTTGTCCAGTATCACCACACTTGAAGGTTAAATAAGATGTTTTTAGAAATAGTTCTAAACTAAATAGAAATGATCTAGGAAATTGTTTATGTGGTTTCTGTTGACATTTTATGCTAATTTTCATTTGAAAACTAAAGAAGTATTTTTGTATAACAATCATTCAGGTAAGTATATTGAGGGCCTATTGCACTGGAACACCTTTTATAGTAGTGATGCTGATAGACATTTAAAAAAGCTGTAAACCTTCTATATGATGGAAGCTATGTATTCACGTATTACTCTTATATTAAAATATGTTAATAAAACCAGCAGATATGTATAAACCCTGTATTTCAATTCAGGGGATAATGCCACACCTCAGTTCCCATGCCCTTGTAAAGGGTGAATGAATACCCAATCCTAAGGAGAAGCATAATGACCTTGTTCATAAGTTATTATCAGTCATGCAGATTTATGTACTTTTTTACTGAGTTAAGTAAGTGCTTCAGTAAGTAAAAAAAACAAAAAATAAAATATACTGAAATATTTTAATGAGTATAAAGGAATTTGAAAATGACTGGATATATATAAAGTGGAACTTTCTGATCAATAATGGAAAATAATTCCTGTTTGATGTATTTCTCATAGTTTTTTACATTGTGTAGGCCAGTGATTGAATGTAAATTTTTATATAGTGCTATAACATTAAAAAACAGACAAGTTATAGTTGCTATGATAAAAAAAATTGGATAAAAGTTTTTTTATGTTTTAGACTAATTACATAAAAATTAGGTGGCATAAAACCAAAGAGTATTTATATATTTTTATTAACCCTAAGGTCAGGAGCCTATCATGCAAAATATCTGGTGAACAATGAAAATAATTAAAATTACCCTTGAACAATACTTTAGTATTACAGCTTTTTTTTAAAACAATACAACATTTGTGCACATCAGTTTACCTCTCAGAAAAATTATTTGAAAATGAGTTTTTCTCTCATTTATGTTGAGATTTTAGTGAAACTCCATTGCATACTAATCTACTAAAAGAAGAACTATTTTCATTGCTAAACTAGTCAATAGACATTGGTGAGAATGTTTGAATGTCATGTTTACCCTATTTCTCTATGTTGAAATACTTTTATTTGCAAGGTATCAGCCCTCTTACTGGAACCTTCACAAAAGCTCACAAATAGAAATATTTTAACAGTAGAGAAAAGTCCGTGTATAATTCTAAATAATAATGCTGGGATATTTGTCTCAATAGCTGAATAAATACAAATGAAAATGTTTAAAAAATAGAAGTGTTTACAGAAATGGATCAATTCATCATTATTTTTTTTCGTGATTAAAGCTCAAAATGTTTCCTGTATATTCTGTTGTTTAACTTATTAGTGGAGTTGCTTCATATATAGCAAGCCAGTGATATTTTACATATTGATGTAGTTGTTGGTTTTTGTTACATTTAAATATTCATTTAAAAGCAATAATTAAATGATGGTATTTTCTTTCAGCCTTACTCTGCAACAGCCCAGGCTTCTCATTATCCTACTCTGAAGAAAGAGATCATCTTTCCAATTAACACTGTGGAAGGAGTAGTGCCTGTACTAACTAAAAGACGAAGACTAACACCCAAAGATGTGAGTCCTGTTGATCCATGGAGAATCATGATGTCACTAAAGTCTGGATTATTAGGTGAAAGCACCTGGGCCCTGGACACTCTCTCTGTTCTACTCTATGATGACAATTCACTATTGTATTTTGGTTTAAGTCATTTGCCTGGTCTCTTGGAAGTACTTCTGGAACACTACAGACGCTGTCTAAACCTCATATTTGGTCTAGGTGATGAGTTAGAAATGGTATATGATGTTCATAATTATGGTAGCTCAGATACTGAGGTACAGTACCCTGTCTTTGAACATGACAGTGATTGTTCTAAAGTTCAAGACTGTTCAGAAAACAGTTCCACCAGCATTAAAGACAAAATGCTTATACTAAAGAGTGAAAATTATACAAAGAAGACAAGATGGGGAAGAACAGTAGGAAGTAAACAAGCAAATGCACTTTTTGTCATGGACTCAGAAAAGACATGGGATTTCCATGAAGGTTTTGACAGTGGTACTGATCATTGGAAGTGTGGTGGTGGAAATACTACCTCACATATCCAGACCCATTTTGAAAATTTGGAAAGTTTTGTAAAGTTTGTTCAAACAGAAGACAAAAGCATTATCACCTCAAAGAAAAATAGAGAGCAATTAAACGATGAAGTTATTTGTGATCTGCAGGATATAGACAATAAAGATAATATAGTTTTGAACTGTCAAAAAGAACATGTGATAAAAGACAGTTTAAATGTAGATGTGCTTCAGAATCAACTTAACATGAAAAGTAAAGACACTACACAGAATTTTAATCCGGAACATATGGAAAATATAATTTCAAGTTACAGTTGTGAAAAACAAGATAAGGAAATGAAAATTGAACAGAAAATGAAAAATTGTAAAGATCAATCCAATGCAAATGTAAATGATGACAGTAATAAAACAGAAAAGCAGACCATCAGAATACGTCCTTCTTTGTCACCTCGAAAAAGGCATTCAGATGATTGTGACTTAGAAAAAGAAACATATAACCGTGATAAACCATCACTATTTGTGTTAAGTGATGGACAAGAAACTTTGTCTCGTCGATGTTTGTGCCTGTCAAATCTTATCAGAAACCTTTCATTTGTGCCAGGAAACGATTTAGAAATGTCCAAACATGCAGGACTTCTTGTAGTTCTTGGAAAGCTCATATTACTACACCATACACATTTACCACATAAGCCATCTCAGCAACATTATAATCATGAAAATGATAAGGACAATTCTGTCACTGATGATTCATGCAGTAGTTTGAATGGTGATCAAGAATGGTGGTGGGACATGCTTCATCTACTTCGAGAAAACACACTTGTCACCCTAGCTAACATAGCTGGTCAGTTGAACCTTGCCCCTTTTCCAGAAGAAGTGAGCCTTCCAATCCTGAATGGTTTGCTTCACTGGGCAGTGTGTCCATCTTCTTATGCCCAGGACCCCCTTCCAACTCAACCAATATACTCCGTCCTGTCCCCTCAACGTTTGTCCCTTGAGGCCCTGTGTAAGATTTCCGTTCGTATCAATAATGTGGACTTACTTCTGGCTACTCCTCCTTGGAGTCGGCTGGAAAAGTTTTTTTCATTTCTTGCCCAGTCTCTCAGTCCTAACAAAGAACATGTGTTACGAGAGTTTTCAGTGGTGCTTCTATCAAGCTTTGCTCAGGCTGATAGCAGTATTGCTAGAGCTATTGCTCTTCAAGATTTCTGTATCTCCAATTTGTTTACATTTGTGGAACAAGCAGAACAGAGTGCTCTTCAGGTTGCCAACAGGCAAGGCATCAATGCCTTGCGTGAAAACCCAGAACTAATGGGAACGACATTAGAGAAGGTACGTCGTGCTGCCTCTACATTACGGTGCCTATCTCGTGTGCCAGAGAACAAGGGTCTGTTTAAGCAGCATCAACAGCGACTCTTAAACTTAGTAATGTCTCAGATATTGGATCAGGGAGTTGCATCAATTATTGCAGATGTGTTGTATGAGTGCTCTCAGGATTCCCAAACATCTAATGATGTTAACTCTTTAGGATTTACTGTTTCTTAGTAAAACTTTTTAGAAATAATTGTTTTAAAATTTCACGATGTGACTTTTTTCAGCTCCCTCCCTACCTGGCCTTGTCACTTTTAGGTGCAATGTTTCTAAGGTATGGGGCCGAAAACCTTCTTCATACAAAATGTATAGTTGAGATGTTTAACTTGGCCCCCTTTAGGTAACAAATTTTTGACAGACTGAAATGGAGGGAACAGAAAGGCTCAAAACTTCATCCTGTAGCCAAAAGAGGCAGAAGATGTGCATGAGATGCTTGTATTTATTGCTAGATATTTTTTAATTTTGCACTAGTTCTTGTGTGTATACATTAATTTAGAAGATGCTGTAATACTATATATAGTGTTATTCAAGGTCTTAGCACCAAAAATAGATATTAAATCATGTCAAGACACACTGTTGAGATTATTCTTCAGTGACAATTTATTACCTCTTTTCAAAAAGTGTCACAAAAAGTAAAACTCTTTGATCTCGAACAACTTTCAGTAACAGAAACAATAGAGTATGTGCATCCTACATTATGGACAATAACTGTTGTTCTGATTATTTTAAAAGTACTACATATTTATCTGCTCTATGGAGGATAAAAATGTTACAACTTTATTTCTTAGATTTAAAAGTATATTGATATTTTGTTCAGTGATTGAGGGGTAGAAAAAACAGAGTGACAATGAATGATTCAATTATTTGGAATATGATGTACAATATAAAGTTACACATTTGCAGCTCATAATGGACGATTTAATAACTGGGACTGTGGGAAGGAAATATGAAACTACATTAAACAAAAGCCTGCTCATAATTACTCTGTACATGTATAGAGATGTTAGTATGTATGTGCGTATATATATATATATATGTGTGTGTGTGTGTGGTTAAAAAATAGGGAGTTGGCTTTGGTGGACTTGAAGTTACTTTGACCTCATTATGTTCATGGACTGTTCACCACCTTCAAGATCATTTCAAAGTGATTGCAATTTGTGCTTGGGGATTCCCGAGTCCAGCACATCCTTCTCCTTTTTAGTCCTTTGATATTGGTATGAACTCGTACAAATGCTTTATACTATGTATATGTTTGATGATAAATCACAAATAAATGTACAGTAAACATTCTCCACTCCATTTGTGTGCTTCCTTTTAAAACAAGTTGTGTTTTCAAAGTAAGAGCATGAAAGAAATAAAATGTTTACAAAAGACACAATAGTCCAACAATATGGAAAGTCATTTTTCTGATAAAATTAGAAAATGTGGTTTTTCATCATGATTTATGAAAAAAATGTATTTTATAGAATTCTGTTCAAAGTCTACTCTTATAAAATTTGTATTGACATAAACTGGTTGCTATCAAACATTCATAAAAATATGAACAAATTGGAAAGTAATTAACCAGTTTGCATGTCAGGGAGACATTTTTGATATGTTGATTCCCAAATAGAACTTGTTTGGTACTCTCTTTTGTAATTCTAAATAAAGATTTGAACTCCTTACAATATTTGGAATCTGAATTGCCCACCGGTGTGCCTTAATTTGCTCTAGTTTCCAGGCTGTGAGGAAGCAAACCCCTATCCAAAATCCCAAACAAATCTCTGTAGTGGCTGCATATGTTGCATAACAGAAGATCTGGTTCCTCAGCTGTATAAAGCTGTTGTTTTGGCTGTTTTAGCAAATTCTGTCGATAAAGATAGTCGAGGAAGGCTGCCCAGATATTGTTGCCTTTGTTTTGATGGTTTCTGCTTGGAATTGCAGACAAACACTCTCCTACTCAGATACAGGAGTTAGTCTGGTGTGTGAAAAGATGAGATAGTAGTTGTAGCTGAGTGACACCAATAGCAGTAATAATAGTAATAGCATGGTAGAGAGAGCAGTAGGAGCATCAGTAGCATGGCACAAGGGAATACAGACCAATCAAGTGGTTTTATGTATGTTTTAGACCAATCAAAATCTAATATTCATAAGCACTTTTTATTTCACTAAATATGCTACACAAGAATGAGTACTTCTACTATTCTGTGCAAGAGGAACATCGTTCATCCAACCACGTAAACTCTGCATCTTCATGGCCAAACTATTGAGAGGTGAGCTCATTTGGTAAAGTATAGTTTTTGAGGTTAACAGGCTCTTCATCAGAGTACATTATTTGTGGTTCTAACTTGAATACCATAAAGTGACCCCCCCCCCCCCCTATATACTGTCTAATTCCCAAACTTTTGTCTTATGTACTTACAGACTGGGTGTTAAATATACTAATTACCCCTGACTTTACACAAACTTTAGCAATTTAAATAATTATTAAAGAAATGTTCCACAAATGGAGAGGAAGCTCTTGAAAACTGTATTTTGTTATTGTTTATTGAACTTTTCACCTTTTTTTTTGTTGTTGTTGTTGTTGTAAAACAACATACATATACTGAAATGATATTAATAGAAGCTGTAAAACTGAGCAGAAGTTGAATAATTTTTAACCTTTCTATTTTTTCTGTTTTGTAAAAGTTAAAAAGACAAACACCAAGCAGATTTACTTACTGGCTGGTTGTCAATTGGATTTAATTCTAATGTGCATTTCATATTTTTAAGAAAATATATTAAATAATAACTGATATAGCTAAATTGCAAAGAAAATGTAAAAACTATGTTTTACCAAGTTAACTTGGCATCGTAAGGTGTGGGAACCCTAAATAACAAATGAAAAAAACTTTGTAGGTTTAAGATAGAATTTTATAAATAGAAGCATACTATAAATACTTTTTTAATGTGATTGAATATTTTTTAATATCGCATGTGTCAATATTTTTTAATATTGCATGTGTCGTGAGGCTGAAAAAAAAACCTGTTCCAGAGTTTTAAAACCAGAGACAATAACTGAAAGAATAAGAGTGGATGATATAAATTTTTTGGCGATAGAAACCTGTATAACATAAAGTATTCTCAGGTACACTCATAACTTTCAGGTAAGAATTGTAACCACAATAACAAAAAGAATGGTAAAAGATATATCATGCATCCAAACTAAATTTCTGAGCTGGCTGAGGTAAAGATGTTTGTTTGTTTGTTTTTTTTGAATTTCACGCAAAGCTACACGAGGGCTATCTGCACTAGCCTTCCCTAATTTAGCAGTGTAAGACTAGAGGGAAGGCAGCTAGTCATCATCACCCACTGCTACCTCTTGGGCTACTCTTTTACCAACGAATAGTGGGATTGACCGTCACATTGTAATGCCCCCAGGGCTGAAAAAGCGAGCATGTTTGGTGTGACAGGGATTCGAACCCGCGACCCTCAGATTGCGAGTCGAGCACCTTAACCACCTGGCCATGCCGGGCCCCTGAGGTAAAGAAGAGATACTGAAAAGAATATCTGGCAAAATGAATAATAAAGCTTTATGCGTAGATAACTATAAAACCTAATGCAGGTGATGTATGCACTAAGATGCAAGATAGTATATCTTTTTATCAGAAAGTCGCAAGAAGTTCTGCTTAGATTCTGATTTAGGCTAAGAGAACTAAAAATTGTATAATTGAATACATAGAGTTAACTTTTCCAGAATGCATGTGCCACCCATGTCACTTCATCATCCCATAAACAAATAATAGGGAGGACATATCCTTCAGGTATTTCTACACGTGTACATAATAGATGTTATTAGAGAAAACAAACACTTCCCATGAATGAGCTAAGAAATACACAGGGAGAATAACCTTGGGAAGAGTGTATCTAGCACACATAGTAAGAATTTTGCAGCCCAGATTTCATTTCTGTATACTTGAAACTGCACCACACATGAATGTTAATTTTCATTTAATTTAGGATATGTTTGTCTTTCTAAACTAAAATTGAAAAACTTAGTGTTTGCTCATATCTCCTCCTTCCTTTTCCCTTCAGGCTGATTCTGTTTGTCCCTAACTTAACATTTTAAAACCAATGATATTATCAAAAAGAATAAATCACAACTGCAAATTAGTCATGCTTTTGTAGTACCTTGCACTTGACAAAAATACTACACATATACAAAACAGACAAGCACGGTCCTTCAACACAAGTAATTTGATAATTGAACTACAGCAATAAACCCTGTGACTTACACAAATCAATTAATATGATTACATCATAAGGGTTAATATAATTTAACAGAGGTGTTGATCTTGGTGTTGTGCAACAATAAAACATTAATTAAAATGGATGCTTTAACAACAATTAATTATAATTAAAAATTCATAAAGATACAGAAACACAGCAAAAACAGGAATATCCCTTAATATAAACATCAGTGTTTTAGAAATTTTTAATAAGACATGCCTTTTAACTTAGAGAATTGAAATAATTTGATTATCAAAATTATGTCATAAAATATCATTAACATTAGGAACATGTTTACATTACATATTTACAATAGAGGGTATTGATTGCAACAATGTAAATTACAAAACATGAAATATATATAAGAGTATAAAATTTGATATAAAAGTACTCTTTAACATTAATCAAATGCATCATATATATTACCTTTAAACACATGAAAATGGCCCAAGAAAGGAGCGAGCATGTAATAAAAACTATTTAAAAACAGCAATGTCAGTTTGTCTCATCACTTATATTTAACTTGTTTTGTAAGTAAATGATTACTATACAAATTGTTTCAACATTGTGTTTGATCTCTTTCTTCAACTAAGTCAGAGTAAAAAATTCAGTTAAATTCCACATAGCATTGTTTGCTATTCTCCCAGCTCTTATGGTCACTATTCTTAATCTTGCTTCTAAAGAAAACCAGTGCACCTGAGAATACCACAGAGTTAGATAGTAATGTTAAACTTTACTTTCCTGACTGTGGGGTGTGTAATTGTAAGCGAAAATGTCATTTCTCACAAGATGATGGTCATGAGCAAGGAACAATAGGAGTTCATCATTAAGGATAGAAGGTTGTCCAAGAGAACAGTAAAGTCTAGAAAAAATCAAATCTTGGACATAGGGTCTTTGGTTAAACTTCAAAAGTTCATGATTGTGATCTCAATACACTTACAAGCTCAGAATTTCTTAACTGAGTCTGTCCTTCAAGTTAGAAGCAATTTGTAACCGAGAGTCTGTACAGTGATGTATAGGCTGAGTTTTAGTGCAGTAGCCTCAACAAGACTCTCAGGCTGTCACCAATTAGGGCAGCCCAATCATAATCCTGATTATTGTCACCCATGGCCAACTGAAGATTAAGTTCTCCAGCCAGAATTGTCTTTGTGCTAGGAGAGACAACAAGCACAGAACAGTGAACGTATTGACTCATTGTATTGATGAGCTTCTCTATCTGGAAAAGCATGCTGCTACAACCATAAATGGTCATAGAGAAGCATGTGGCCTTACAGAGCCTGAAACCTTCTCCATCAGCATCTTGACGTGTCCCTAGCGCCGTGGGTGTCTCAGTCTGGTGTTGGCTAAGAAGTTGCTGGAGTTATGATAGTACCACAAGTACATGTCCTTGTGGATGAAATGAAGCAGTTTTCTCCATTGGTGTTCAAAGGTACAAACAAGGAAAACCTTAAATGTTTTAATCGTATTACTGCTTACATGGATAGACAGAAAAAGAGGTGACACCATGTCTGATGTTTTGGAATACAGTCGTGGCTCAGTTGCTCCTGTAATTTTGACCCAGTGGTGAACCAAGACATCTATCAAACCATGTTCAAGGCTTGAAAGAAAGATCCCAAGGAGATCATGGCCACTTGTGTAGAGATTTTGTATTAATTTCATGAAAGGTATATTACATTATTACATCTGTGGATCATAAGGATGTCTCCCTAAAATAAGTTTATAGAATGACTACCAAGCAAATTGAAGTGACACAAACTAATGTATGTAGTATCTGTGGTAACTATGTTCGGGGTAGTAATTTGAAACAATGGAAAAAGATAAAAAAGCCCACATCTATCAAACTACGTTCAAGGCTTAAAAGAAAGATCCCAAGGAGATCATGGCCACTTGTGTAGAGGATTTGTATTAATTTCGTGAAAGTTATATTACATCTGTGGATCATGAGGATGTCTCCCTAAAATAAGTTCATAGAATGACTACCAAGCAAATTGAAGTAACACCACCTAATGTATGTAGTATCTGTGGTGATTATGTTCGAGGTA